AGATAGGTTGAGACTCAGCAGAGTCTTTCCTGACAGATGGCTTCAAAGGCTGGACAGGGAACCTGCCTGGGAGTCTGCATTCTCTGGGTGAGGAGGCTCCTGTCTTTTGGTCTCTTTGTGAGACCCCAGCCAGAGATGAGCTGTGAATAACAGGAGTGTCTCAGTATCCCTGTGCATGAGGCTGCAGCACAGATGCTATCTGCGGTGTGAATATGACATCTCTATTCCTGCCTTGCACCTGCACTCTGGAAACTCCCTGACCCTGGGCTTCATACTCACTTTATCCTGAGCACAGATTATATGAAAATAAAGGATTCATAAAGTGTCTAAAATGCAGACGTTTTGTCCTTATAACATCTTGGGCCTGCAGGTATTGAGGACACGCAGTTAGAGAATGATCACCCTGGGCACACTAGTCATTGCATGGCCTCTGACTGTTCAAGGCAGTGATATCAGGACACCCCCTGCATGTCTACATGCCTAGAGGCAGAAATGGTGAAGGATAAAACCACAAACACCATGCACAGAGATTCTGGGAGTAGGATCAGTCTAATACAAGATCCAGGTCAGGGGTCAGAGGCCCTGGACACACATGTACATGGCCCAAGCCTAGAGTGCAATGATGGATACCCTGTGTGAACTTGTTCATGCTACCATGGGACAGTGGACTCCATGGCTGAAGCTACTGCTTACATAAATTATCAAGAATCTGGGAGAAGGGAACTTCCAGGTCAGGGCAATGCAGCTTCCTTGCTGTGTCCCATGGAAGGGTCTCCAAATCATCCACTTCTACAATGGGTTTCATGGGTTCTGAGACGGTCAAGTGTGACCCTAATTCTATAGCATGGAAATGGATCCTTTCACTGTAGCATCTAGCATTTTTGCAAAAAAAAATGGAATCTATGCATCCCTATAACCTGTCTGAGCCCCAGGATAGGCTTTCAGCTGATGCCCATGCCTAGAAATGAGTACCCTGTAATGCAAATACTACTAGGAATGGTAGCAGGCAGATGCAGCAGAGAACACACTCCAGTGGCTCTGAGTCCACTCAGGATTCTCTGAAGCTCCAACAGTATAATGGGCTTCCAAAAAGAATAGGTGGGCAGGCAGCAGCATTACACACTGATACTGTCAAAATAGTGTCTGATCACAAGGTTGTCCAAAAATCAGGTATCTGGTGAGCTGGTTCATTTCCATGAGTGACACCTGGGCTCATCAGCACATCTTGTCCCCCATGAAGGACACAGTAACATCCTTCTGGGATGCACATGCTGATCCTTCCCCTATGGACCTCAGGACCCAGCTCAGGCTTTGACACAGACCCATTTCTAAGTCTTCCCAGCTGTGCGGCCTTCTCCCTATAGCAATGTGTGTGTCCTGACTATGTGACTCTTGCTGTCCCTCGTGGATTCACACAGCCATCCCAAAAGCTACAGTTGGAAACATGTGATACAAAGAACAACATGGAGAGAGAGAAAGTGAAATGAGTCTGAAGCTCTGGAGGCCATGAGGGGGAGGAAGCTACACAAAGCTCCCCTGTCTTCTGCTTTGTCTCTACTGCAGTTCTGCTCCAGGTGCACCTGTTCCTGGCGCTCCTGCAGCTGTAATCCCGCTAACCACACTGGTGTGCCTGACTATGGAAATCCCATGTGCTCTTGGTGAGATCTCTCTGATTCTGTCCCACAAGGAATCTCGAGATGTATTCCTCATTTCCTTTTTAACTTTCCTCCTCTCTGGGCAGCAGGGCACTTCCTTTCATGTATTTCTCATATGGGCTATATTGACAGAAGAGAAGAAAAATGGGATTTAAAACACAGTCAAGCTGTGTTACACACATGCTCACACTCCCCAAGATGCAAACAAGAACTGATAAAAAGAAATAAATTTAAAATTTTAGAAGCCAATAATGCAGAGTGTCTTTAGCAAAGTTACAGAAGAAAGGAAAAACCACAGACTCTAAAATCACAGCAGCCAAGGAACTTGTAACTGGTCTTGAGCCTCACAAGAACTCAGTGTGTCTTAGCACCCCTGCCGCCCCTAGTGCCACTGCAGGGAGATTTATGTCTGGGCTCACACTGAGGTCCCCTCACTGTGTCTCTCACACAGTAGTACCTGGCTGCATCCTTGGGGCTCAGGATGCTCAGTGAGAGTGAGACTTGCCTCTTGGAAGTGTCCCTGTTGAGGCACACTTGAGACTGAAGGGCTGATTTATAATTTGTGCTTCCATTACTCCACATAGCAGAAATCCACTCCAGGCCCTTCCTGGAGCCGGACAGACGAAGATACCATCATAACTGGTTGAAGAGAATCCAGAGACTTTTCAGGTGAGGGACAGAGTCTCTGAAGGCTTCACTAGGCCTGATCCTGACTCCTGAAGTTGCAGCTTGGACAAGACAACTCAGGATAAGAAGCATTACAGTCAGTGAAGTGCATCTGGCTCTTTGTACCAAGGTCCCTCTTCTGAATCTCAGAGGCACTCAGAGTAGAGAGCCAACACTAGGCAGAGAAGCAGAGCCAAGATATCCATGCTCAGTTAAGAAGGAGACTGGGGCTGCTCAGCCAGAACTTGCTTTTCAACCTGAGCCTGCAGCTGCTTTGCCTGGGGATTGCCATTTGGGTATAAGGGTAGGAAATAGGCAGAGTGCTTTACTGGTTCCCTTGAGGAGGGATTTTCACATGATGATCATATCTGACTCCTGACAATGAGATACTTTCCTACATCTTCTGTAGTATTCACATTTCCACACAAAGTAAAATTGAACATTGGGAAGGATTTGTTGATTGTGAGCACAGTTTCTTTGGGAATCTTTAACATTAGAGTATTTCTGTTCTGGACAGTTCTGACGGCCTTTCTATGGGAGGGTTTGTAGAGGGGCAGAAAACTGTATCTCTGGGGCTGTTGCTGGAGATGGAGAAAACTCTTTTCAAATTAACTAAACTCTCTCTCTTCTTGGTCAAGTCCTTGTTGTGCACTAGCAAAAAGAGCTTTGTCATCCTGTGCTATGCTTGTCACCCTAGTACCATTTGGAAACACAACTGTTTTCTGCACCTAGTCACCCTGAAGCACTGACCACATTGTTATAAATTAACTGAAGCACCATCATACTGTTCTGTATGCATCCTCACCTCTTCACCATAGTAACCTGTTTTCTGTGTCAGCCTTTGTTCCCTTTTTGAGGGACAAATGTTGCTGTATCAACCTTTGTTCCCTTTGTGAGAGATAAATGTTCCTGGAATTAGCAAACCAAGGGCTGTGAATTCCTGTAAGGGAGGAAAGGGCTCACCACCAACAGCCAAATGTCTCTGACTTCAAGAAAAGGTGAATAAAGGCTTTCTTCATTCCTTCTCACTATGTACTTTGTGGTTTATGAGCTATAAAAATCTGTCAAAATTATAATACAGTTACACAGCTTTGCAAACTCCCTCTACCCTGTGTCGCTGGTGTCAGCTTAAATGAAGCACTCTTTTTCTTTTTAAAAGACACCTTGCCCTTTTTATTGGACAACATGTCAGGGCTCCTTTTTAGGGTACAACAGTCCTGTGCTCCTCTGCATGACTGCCTTTTGAAAAATCACTGTTTCTCTCTTGCATGTGATCTTCAGGGACAATACTGGGCATTATTCTGTTGATCCCCATGGTAGTCTGAACTGGGGAAGAGTAAGGGAGCCCATGCATCTCCACCTCAGCCCATTATTGGGCGTGTAAAATCAGGAATCTCTGCTGCTGTCTGGAAATGCTGGGACTCCTCACAGCATAGAGACATTCTGCCCTTTCTCCTGCACCCATGACCTTGAAAACTCACATTTTCACAATGAATCAAGTTTCTACATTGAAGGCTGCACATCTTTTATCATAGAAAATCCTCTCATATTAAAAGTATATATCTTATACTTAAAGCCTTCTTTGTATATTTTCCATTATACTTACTGTCACAATTTTCTGAAATATATCTAATACCAGTTGAAAAGTATCTAAATGTTACATTTTGTGTGACTGTCTGCCAATACACATCCAAGAAAATGTGAATCAGTGCTGTTAGATTAATACAAGCAGAATGCAGAGAGAAGTTCAAGTTAGTATTTTATGAATTTACAATGACAATAATTGTTTTAAATTGATCCATCATGTGTTTTTATAAAACTAGGATGATAGTACCTAATTCTGCCTTTTGGTGGAAGACAGTATTTGCCTCCTTGACTGAAGGTAGCATGTTATTTTGACACCATTTAATGTGGCCAGAGGCTTGAATAAAAATGATACATAAGTATTATTGTTAGGGGTTGTACACAAAGAACAATTAAAATCAGGTCATGGAGTTTATAATATTATTTTTGTAATGGTCATTTTGAGTTAACACAAGAAAATGCAGGAAATCTATCTAAAACACCAAAGACATAGAATATTTAGAAAAGGGACTAAATCCCACAGCAATGTCCCACATGAGTCCAGATGAAAACACAGAACTAACAACAATGCCTCCCACGAGTCCAACTGGAGGTCCAGAGCCCCCAAGAAGAACTCACACCAGTCTCTTTTACACATCTGTGCCAGAAAGGCCCAAAGGTCAGTGGTGGAAGAAAGAAAGTCCATGCCAAAGGGGTGAAGGAGCTGTGCTGGTGGGATGAGGGTTTTATGCTGAAGCCCAAAAGTCACACTCACAAAAATACCAGGGCTATCATGAAAGGCACCACAGCCATCCTCAGTGACACGGAGGCTCTGAGCTCCTCCAACTATAAACACAGTCACAAAGCCAGCACTAGGAGTTCATCCTGGAGACCAAGTGAAACACATATTCCCCTCTGGAGTCAGGAAACAGTGTTTGATGTGAGGACCAAAGATTCTCCAAAAGAACAAATGGTTCAAACAGTAACTTATAGGAGAACCCACAATGCCTCAATGCAGCACACATGGATTTGTCAGAAGAGATAAGGTCCTGTCAGTCACTTCAGCCTTGCTTCCTGAATCCAGAGCAGGTGCCTCAGCCTGCTGGCTCAGATCCTTCATCCTTCTGGCACAGACATTATAGCTTTGAACACTGAGCTCTGGGCCTTGCCAGTGCGGATTCTTGACACAGACTTGCAGGAGACATTGTTGTGGATGTAGGCCACCAGCTGGAATTATGGAGGACATTGCCATGAGTTCCAGATCCTTGGCTTTATTCTTTGTGTCTCTGGTATGTACACAGATCACCTACACACGTCTGCATTTTACTCATCAGGGGAATATTACTTTAAAAATCCAGTAAATTATGTGTCCTTAATTAAATTTATTTCCCTGTAAATTGTGACTACCCCATAAATTATAACTTTGATGCACAGCCTTAAAAGATACCTGAAGGAAAGTGAGGGTGGTGAAAGGGGAAGAATTAGATTCTGTACATTGGGATGGAGATACTCATGAGTACACTAATAAAGTGGAGAATGCTGAGCTCCTGAAGTCTAGTGAGATTATCTTGCCCAGTAAAGACATTTCCCGTCTCATAGGTCTGAGGTATCCCAACACACACTCTGTGATGTTGGCCTTCCCTCACTTACCTGAGGAAACTCAGCCTGTGTTATCAAGTGCAGTAAGCTGACCATCCTCAGGTCCCACACTAAACTTCCCACTTAAGCCTCTAGGCCTGTAACCAGGTTTGAATCCCAAAACGCTCATAAAGGACATTGGCACAGTGTGAGCCAAGAGAAGTTCTACTGTTCTCCCAAACAGCATCTTAGTTTCTTAACTGCTATCAGCAGATGCCTGATGAGCAAATGTGAGAATGGATTTTATGAGTGTAAAACAGTGGTGGCAAAAACATACACTGGATCAGGTGGATGTGCACGCCTTGAACAGAGAGCAAGAAATTGGCATGGTGGCAGGAGCCTATAAGACCAGCACTCAAAAGTCTGCAGTGAGGGGATTGGTGTGAGTTTAAAGTCAGCCTGGGCTACCAAGTGAGTTGAAGAGCAGCCTGAAACCCTGTCTCAAAATTACTCACACACACACACACACACACACACACACAGAGAGAGAGAGAGAGAGAGAGAGAGAGAGAGAGAGAGAGAGAGAGAGAGACAGAGACAGAGAGAGACAGAGAGAGAGAGAGAGAGAGAGAGAGAGAGAGAGAGAGAGGTACCCAGAAGAAACTTTGTTTCTGGGCTCACACTGATGTCCCCTCGCTGTGGCTCTTGCATGGTGGCATATGGCTGTATTTCAAGTTTTGTGCTGCTCATCGTTACATGCAGTGGGCTCTTGACACTGTCTCTGGAGATGGTGAATCAGCCCTTCACAGAATCAGCATAGTGTGTGTCACCGTCACAGAGAACGCTGGGAACTCTTTTCCTGGGGCTGGTAGGCCCAGTTCATCCAGCTATCATGGAAGATGAGTCCAGGGGCTGCATGGAAAAGCCTCAGGGTTGCCCCTGGCTGCACCAAGCCTGCCCTCCTAGACTGCACCATTTGCCACTCACACTGCACAATTGAAAACACAGAAATAGTTTGATTTTTATGCAGTTTGTTTCATTGCATAAATTTGCAACATTGAAACACGTGAGGTGATGAAAACAGTACAAACATGATTCAGTGTCATCTCAACTTTGCTATATGTAGCTATTTTTATATGTTTCTCAATGACCTTTATGGGAAAGAAAGTAAATATTAATGTGTGACATTTACCAGTAATATCGGCTTAGAATATAATTTAGCAAAATTAGTGGACAGAAGTTTGATCTACTGTAACAAATAGATAACTATTGAAATCTCTGAATTTTTTGGTACTAAGTATCATGGCTTTTATTGAATTAAACTCTTACAATGAGTGTTGTTTTAAGAACCTTTTCTTAGACACTATTATGTGATCTTTCATTTGAGTAGGTTGAAATGTGACCTGTATGTAATCATGCATCTGACAATTTTTTTGGTCTATTTGTCCAACATATTATCTGTCACAGACCTGTAAGTTGATGTATTATTAGACATTCTTGCAAATTTATAATGTATTTTACTACCTTGTTTTATGTTATAAAACATTCAAAAAGATTTTGTCCTCTTAGTGCAAAGGATACAAAATGCAAAATACACAGTTTCAATAATGACAATAACAAGTGTATATATTACACTATTTTGTTACACTGAATATCTTGTCTCATGTAGGCTTTAGACATCGAATCAATTATTCTGGTTTTAGTTGGTATTTCTATCCATTTATAAATGGATTTTAAAAATTGTTGCTTTGCTCTTTCTATTATCCCTTGGCATCATTTTTTTTTAATGTCATAACGGCAACCTAAAATAATAAAAGGGTAAAATGCAGGTCCTCTTGTGATAGACTCCCTGCTCCATGTGTCCCGAACGCCACCTGCTGTGCCCTAAGCACCACTGCACAGAGTTTTTTGTCTGGACTCACACTGATGTCCTCTCACTGTGTTTCTGGCACAATAATACACTGCTGTGTCATCAGATATTAGGCTAAATACAGTGTGTTTTTGCTGTTATCTCTGGAGATGGTGAATTAGTCCTTCATGGAGTCTGCATATTCTGTGTTAGTATCACTATACCTAATCCCTGAGATCCATTCCAGCCCCTCTACTGGAGCCTGGTGGATGCAGCTCATCCAGTAGCTACTGAAAGTGAATCGTGAAAGCGACCCAGGAGAGTTTCAGGAACCACCCAGGCTGAAGGAAACCTCCAACAGACTCCAGCAGCTGCTCCTAACACAGAACACCTGCAAACACAGGGATTTCCTGCTCAGAAAACTATCACTGATTTTCCACTGATTCCCTCAGCATCTTTGGTTCTAAATAATTTACTTTTGAAAATTGTAAACAGGTAAACGAACTCAGTGCCAGCTCCATAGTGAGCCATCTGTGTTCAGTCCTGATCACCAACAGGGATCACCTGGGCACCAGGGCTGGGCTTAGCAGCAGAGCTGCAGGTTGGGGCTGGGCTAGTTTTCATCAGCACAGGGAAGCCCTATTTGCATGTCTTCCTGCTATATAGACAGCTTGAGGCATGAAAAGCTCCCACAGGGCTCTGCCCACCTGGGATGTAAGTGTGATGAGGGAGTTTAGCAACAATTATTTCCTTCAAGATTATATGAGAACCACTGTGAGGAAATGTCTTGGTATCTCTTTCAGTTCATGTCCTCGTATTTCTCCCCATGCTTTCAAATCGCAGCTTCCCCTCCTGTCCTCCATCCTGTTTTTTGTCTTATTAAAGTCACTTTTTTCCCTCATAGTGACCTCAGTGTTTGAAAACTTACTTGTATTAATTTAAAAGTCTGAGATAAATAGCAACTGAATTAACTATACATTAGATTTGGGTAACTCTGACCAGGTTGCATTTAGAGAATTAACTGTGCACAGTGCTTCCCAAATTCAGTGTTGGTCCTGTCGTAGGGTGGACATTCCCAATCCATAGAGTTTATGGAATGGAGTAAAAATGTCCAAGAAGGACAAAACCCCAACTAGATCAGCATTTCTACCTCATGACTCACAGCAATACTTTGTGATATAATGTCATTGTGACACAAGGTCACAATTTGACAAGGTTCTGAAACACTTACCCATGCAACTGTTACCTAACTCCACATGGGTGTCAGCTCAAACCTGCTGGTTCCCACAATGTCATTCTAAGGTAATGGCACTGCAAGCCAGGGGTCTTGTGGCAAACAGGGTAGCACAGGTCTACAAAGCTAAGGGTTTGGCGCCCTCTGTGCTGGTTCTCACCCAACCCTGTTGGTAGCATTGGCTCTGTAGGGTTTCTGCAGTGTCCCCCCTCATGCAGTGGTTCCTGCATGTGTCTGCAATGCCATGACTTGGTTTCAAAGCCAGATGGAGGCAGCCATGCAGCAAACTTGTTAGGATCTGTGGCCCTGTATAGGGAGTGCCCCACTGACTCCAAGGATTGAGGTGGTCTGTGTATCTTGGCATATCCGCTGATGTGGCCCACGTTCTTCTTGGAAATGCAGGTGCCCCACATGAGGTTAGTGAGGAAGGGGGCCCCAAAATATTTGCTGCTGCCACTTGAGAAAAATCTGCCAAATGAGAATGGATGTCTCAGGTTGACCATCAATGACCCTATCAGTCTCTCAATTCCCTGCACTCTGGTCCTGTGGTGGGAGTGACAGACTCTATATGCCATTTGGTTCTGTTTCCTACTTTCCTGTGTGGATCCGCATGTGGCTCCTTTCAACCTGTGCTACTCTCCCTATCATGTGATCCCTTCACAGGACTTGAGTGTTCAATTAGTAAATCATGTGTCATTTATAATTTGGTCAGCCTGGGAAATTTCCTAATTGCCAAGTTCTCCTTCTTTTGAGTTCTTATTCAACCCTGTCCTCTTGCTCCTTTCAATCACTATATCATTAGAAATGAACTCTACTATGCTGTTTCTATGCCCCAGTCTTGTCTGCTGTATTATGTTTATAAATCTATGCATGGTGTCCGCATCAGTGAGTTACTGAGATTTTCCAGTAGGATTTTACATTGATTTTTCAGAAATATATTAGATGTTATATCTTTTGGTTTATCTTTTTAATGGCACTCTGCTTCACTTATACCCACAATTAGTAAGATCAGAGTTTACATGTACAGTTGAAGAAATTGTGCATATTAAATAATTTCTGATTCTAACATAACAATGCTTAACCTGCTTGTTTACCATGATAAGGAATTTTACAACTATTCCTAATTATGCATGGCATAATTCATGTCAACATAGTTCCTGGAAGCTGTAGGTGTATTTTCAGTGGGCCATTACTGCAAAAAAGTTTAGATGTTATATGTCACCAGAGTGACACAGATGAGGAAGTTTGAATTCATTAGGATGTTTCAATGCATACTCATGCAATAACAAGAAAATTAAATTCATTTCTTTATGGGTGATGAATATTCATTTTTGGGTAATTTCTTTGAATTTCTTTGAATATTGTTTTTAATTGGCAGATTTTTAGTTAGTTTCTAAGTTTTGGTTACCATGAAGAATTTTTGTATGAATGTCAGTTTCTATGATTTTGTGCAAATATGAACTTTGAACACTTTTAAAGAATTACCTGAAAATGTAAATGCTACGAAGAATTCATTTTATGAATTTCAAAAGAAAATAACTACTTGTAAAGTAGCTGTGAAATCAC